TCATTGAATTCTCGCTAAAGCTGATAGTTTAATTTCATCTCCCACTCCAAACACTTGCTTGGCCTATCGTGAGCCGCATGAGTTATTTTGTTCAGTGGGGCCGCCCTCTTAGTAGTGTAATTGAGCTGAGCCGACTCGTGAGCTTACCTCGACGAACTAATAATTCAAGCTCAAGCTAGGCCCGAGGCGACTCATTAACCTGTGAGTCAGCTTGTTTACAAAATGTGAATAAAATATACTTAAAATATATCAAAATTGAAGATTTTATTTTTAAATTGTTTAAAATATTTAAAAAAAATTTATATTTTATATCAAATATTTTATTATTATTTATCTTATTCTGTTGTCATTTTATTTTAACACTAATTTAATTTAATATTATTTTTTTTCCGTAATAAACAAGTTGGCTCGTGAGCTGTTTTAAATTTATAGATTTCAGCTCGAGCTCAATTAATCAAGCTCAAGTTAAGGGTGGCTCAAATTCGACTCGACTCATTTACATACTTATTCTGGTTGCCTTCATTCTTGATATTGGCCCGCATCTCAAGTGCTTCCCCTCTTATTCTTGCTTTTAAACATTCCCACGGCATCTTATTCTTCCTATAAATAGCGATATAACCCTTCTCTACTCTATCCACATTTCTACCTCTCTGGTCTCTGAGATGAAGACCTCCTCCTGCTTCTTATTTGCGCTGTTGTGTCTCCTCCAAGCCAAAAATATGGCAGCACTAACCTGCAACCCGATGGAGTTGAGTCCTTGCATGAGTGCAATCCTCTCATCTGCACCCCCGTCGGCTTCATGCTGCTCGAAGCTGAAGGAACAGCAACCATGCTTCTGCCAGTATGAGAAGAACCCCCAACTCAAGGGATACATGAACTCCAGCAACAGCAACAAGGTGGCTAATTTCTGTGAAGTCCCAATACCCAAGTGCTGAACTACATACCACTCCCCTAAGTTATCTAAAGTTTTAGCAGAAGCGTATCCTTGTAATGGTTTTGTGTGAGGTCTGGACCGGTGTTATGATGTGTCTTGCCTTTTTCTCTTTATTTGCTTAAGGCTGGTGCTGTCTTTATATATTAATGAAGTATTTTGTATTTTATGTGAAACGTTCAGTCTTTATGGAGCCAGTAGGAGGATTTCTTTGTTTTGTTTCGTCACCCTTTTGGTTCTGTAACTTAGTTCTATATGAGATTTTGTGAAGTCAAATAATCTGCTGAAAATTCACCAAATGCAGCGTCCCCATCACTTCAGAAACACATAATTTACACAATCAACAGCTACATTTCTAGATTATATTGCAGCATAGGAAAGAACAACATTGTCTAGACAAAAACTATGCCAAAAATTTGCATTTATATAAATATCGTCCAACTCCTATGTATTTGCATATCTAACACATGAACTTTACTTTTTTTTCACATTTATATGACTAAAATTTTCAAATCGCATAAAAAAACGGCCATTTTTATTTTCTTACTTCTGGAAGATAAAATACACTTTTTCATGCATAAGTTGGCATGAATTTAAAGGTTGAAGCTTAGATGTTAAGACATGTTAAAATGATTAAGATTTGAGTGACATGCATGTAAATCTTCCTTTTCTTTTCAGGGGGCATTTGCCTGCATACCACCCAATTCCTATGTATTTACGTATCTAACACCTAAATCATACTTTTTACATTAATATCACTCGAATCCTTCAAAAACACCATCATCTTAACCTTTAAGAAGTGGAATGCTCAATGTCATTTGTAAAGTGGGTGACATGTATGCAAGAAATTAAAGTTTAGGCGTTAGATATGTAAATAGTGAGTGTAAATCTTCCTTTTTATTTTTCTCAAGCCAAAAAAATGGCAAAACCGATCAACATCAAACCTTAATAAGAACAGGTACAACGATATTCATGCAAACTGCTAAATTGATTTGATGAGGTAGTGCTCAAACACAAGTAGCAGGGATTTAGTGGAGATTATGTAGAATCTACATGTCATTGCAGTTTACCTCTTGTTAGCGTACCTAAGGAAGATACGGAAGTAGTGTCCTTGAGGAAAATTTTGAACCCGAACCGATGTGCTGTTCGTGCACGTGCACGTTGCACGTGTGGGACTTGAGCCGATGCACTTCAAGTAAGGCTTGATCATTTTTGTTTAAATTAGTAAATGTTAAATGAACTAAATATAGATATAGTAGAACTTGTTCATTTATGTTCAGGAACAAACTGATATGTTATTCAACTAACAACCTATTAAATATTTGATATTAATATCGATGATAGCTTCTATCATATAGATTTATTATTTAGTTAAAATTTGATTAACTGCAATTTAATTAATTATATATTTCATATTAATATTTTATCATATCAATTAATGAAATGTTTTGCTTTATGAGTTATTGGATAGTATAAGTTCTTTCAGATTTTATTTGCTCTTATTTTCATATTTTGAGAGAAAATATTTATTATAAACACTATATGAGAGAATGTGGGTTAGTTTATTTTTTTTTTTCTGGTTTATTAAATTATTCATTTATTTAGATTTGTAAAATTATTTATTGAAATTTTTATATAAAAATATAAATAAATTTTTAGCTTGTTTAAAAACTCGATCACTTGTCATAAACAAATCAAGTTCTGCTATTGAAAAATTTAAATAGCTCAAGTTTTAAAAATATGTGAAAGCTCGACACGAGTTCAAGCCAAACATGCACAACTTAAATCGTATCAAGTCAAGTCCGATTTATGGTAGTATGCTCGATTACACCCTTTACTATGATGATTTTGTTGAGAAAATACTTCTTAGATTATAATATTATGAATTCAAATTATACTTGTGTGTGATTGGAACGAAAACAATCCCCTTTAGCTTTACTAGGGCTTATATTCAATTTAAATCCAACTCTTAACACGGAAAACTGAAACAAAAATTATGAACTTCTAGAAAAGCACACAATGATTTAACATGGAAAAACTCAAAAATGGGAAAAAATTATAGAGCTACACTACCAAGAAAATTTCACTATGAATTCAGAAACTTTACAGATAACACATTAAAACTTACTCCCTATAATCAATGAAACTTACAACATTTCACTCTGAATCCTTCCTCTAGGTCCGATAAAAGAAAAACATGCAAAATTCTCCTCTTCGAAAATCTCTCCTTCACCGGGAAATTTTCGAAGAGTTAAAAACAATTAAATACTCGTACTTCTAGATTACAGTAACACAATAAAAACGAAAGTAATATGCATGTCAATTAAGATTTTAATAAATCAATATAAAATATTGAAAAGTTTATGAATATGATCACTTATGATATTTTATAATATTCAAGGTGTTTTATTATATGAATAACATGTCTATATCATTCTATATATGTACAACCATCATAGCTGCACCATATAAAAATTGCACCAGTAAATGTATGTTAATAATGTTGATTGTCTTATTGTCGTCGATATTGGTGGAATTTACGAAGTTACGCCATACATTGCTGAATAATAAAGTATCATACGAAGTAACGACACATTGCAGAGTACAGAGTAATGAAGGCTCCTGCAGAGTAACGAGACATGTTGCAGAGTAACAAATTACTCTATTGATTGACGAAGTCTCTTGCATACATAATAACATGTAGTGTTCAAAATAATGTGCAACGGTGTACCTTGAATGCAATGTATTAAAGGCCCGACAATAACTCCCGGTGGCGATTTCTTTCGAGCGTTGTAATCATAACACATCAAATATTTTTTTTTTATATTGTAGAAATTAATGAATCATTATGCTTGGTGTAACATCGTAACCATTTCTCAGTTATGGGAATTTTTCTTTGTACATGCAAACTTATAATGAATCATTTTGATTAGAATAGACCCCATGATTCTTTTCCTTGCCGAGTTTTCCTACAAAATTTTTGGTGTCCCCTCTTATTTTGTTTTCAATGTTATCTATATGTATCATGAATTTCGTACAACGTTGAGAGACATTAGATCATTATCACATCACCTAGTACACAACAACACATATGATGAGTCTCACATTTCACTAGTTTTTATTTGCCCATCAATAAATATCTCGAGTCATCACTTAAAAATGATGGCTCTCTCTCTCTCTCTCTCTCGCTCTCTTAGATATTATATAAAAGAGGAGTGAATTTTGGGGCTTTCCTCTTGAAAATAGTTTTTCTTATTTTGAAGGTGTGCTTGTTTTTTTTTTTTTTTGGTGTGTTTATTATTATGTTTTCTTAAGCTCGTGCACTCATCATTTCAACATAGTATTAATGGATAGAAACATGATGCCAATCAACTAAATTTTTTTTCTAATGGATCTCAGCCCTTGTATGAATGACAACGCATTACAAGTAAAAGCATGGCTATTTTCATGCCTAACAAAGCAAGAGAACTTGGGAAAAATAATAATCGGCTTAGCAAATTCTCAGCATACGCCTCTTTTATTTTTATTTTTTTTTATTAATAAAACCATCCAAATAAAATAAAATAAGTGTGTTTGGACTAAAAATAACATCTACTTGCACTTCAACACAAAAGAATATATACACAATTCTTAAACAAGAAGCCAATGCAAAATATGAGAATCAGCCCATCCACTAGCTACAGCTTATACATATGGCGTTTACATACATAACACCCAATTCATATCTATTTACATATCTAACACCTAAAGTTTTAACTTTTTTACATT